CAAGCGGGAAAACCATATTTTGTGAACCTTTTAGCTTCTTTTACAACAATAAGTTACATAATCTAACAGGTTATGGGCCCAGGATCGTGGTAATGGATAGCCAAACGATAAAATGGCTAGTTTTTAACGGAAAAGCTGAAAACTACCCAGCATGAAGCACAAAGTTCACCGCGTATATGCAAACGAAAGGTTTATACAAAGCGCTTCTCGGGAAAGAAGTCGCACCGGAAGAGATAGCACCGCTAGCAGGGGATGCTTCAGACGAGCAGAAGGCCGAATGGGAGGCAAAAGTTCAACAAAGAAATAAACAAATCGAAGAAATTGAAGAAAGAAATAATACGGTATGGTGTCATATTGCTTTAGCCCTCGACAATAATAGTCTTTTATATATAAGACATGATTGCCTGTCATCAGATGGTGTTGGGGACGGGGCAAAGGCGTGGCGTTTGCTACAACAGAGATATTCCCACGTGGAAAAGCCAACTGTAGTAAGTCTAGTTCGTCAAATTTCTCGATTACAGTTAAAAGAAAATGAAAAATTATCCGAATATTTTATACGAGCGCAAGAATTAATGTCTCGATTGACCGAAGCTGGTGAAAAGATATCAGAAACACTATTCAATGCCTTAGTTATAAACGGACTTCCAGAGAAATATGAGCACTTCATCGTACAGGAAAGTTTTAATCCTGCAGCTAATTTCACCGAATTACGAACACGTTTACAAAATTATGATGATAGTCGACTACAAAGAAATCAAGCAAAAGAAGATAGTGCAACAGCTATGTATTCTGGAAGTACGTCAGGAAGAAACAAAGGTCCAAGCAAGCCGAAGGGAGATTGTTTTGTATGCGGAAACTCTGGACATTTCGCCAAGCAATGTAGTAAAAGAAGTTCAGCTTACTGCTCAAAGTGCAAGAAAAAGGGACATTTACCAAAAGCATGCAGAGGTTCAAGTAAACCTGATAAATCCACAAAAGAACCCAACTCATTTGCATCATATTCTCAATGTATGAACAGTGGTACTGAAACAAGCAGTGGTACTGGCAAACCAAACCATCTCATCGATACTGGTTGTACTGATCACATCATTAGCCAAAAGGAACTGTTTGAAAACTTACAACCTTGCAGCATCAAAAATGTTAAAGATCCAAAGGGAAATTTTACTCCTGTTGAAGGAATTGGTGATGTACCAGTAAAGCTTCATCTGAAAAATGGAAAAGAGGAAGAAATGGTTCTACGAAACGTACTTTATGTGCCAATTATGAAGTGAACCTGCTTTCTGTCAATCGATCCGTCAGATTTGGACACAAATTCGTATTTAATAAAAGTGAAGCAAAGTTAAGATTAAATCATGGTCCACAAGTCGATCTCACTGAAGACAGTGGTTTATTTTATCTGGGGCCGGTTGTACGAAAGGTGGATAAATCGCTATCCGGCGGATAAGTCCCTATCCAGCGGATAAATTTTATCCGGAGTGAAAATCGCGTTGTACGAAGCTTGGATAGCGCTATCCAACGGATAAAATGCACTATCCGTTGGATAAATTTATCCGAGGTCCGGAGGTAGTTTAAATCCACTATCCGGCGGATAAACTCAAAGTTTGAAGACAAAACAATGTGTATTTCATTTAAAAAGGATTGCTATTGTGATAGAAATGGACAAATACCGTTTGGAAGTCCCTTTCTTGACACTATTAAATAAACATGGAAACTTACTTATGACTTCTCTTGCTCTTGACGTACCGAGCTCACTTTGAGTCACTTGCCCATTAAATAATGCCATGCCTTTGCCATATTTTATGCAGACCTGTGTCAGTGCTTAGACGTTACGTTTTCTGGCTTTTGTCCTTTTTTTCTGTTAAATAGCTCGAAAACAAGCAATAAAACTTTCATTAAATGAGTTCCCTTCAACGCCAAACAAATATAGCTGCATATAAATAGACAACAAGGCACCGAAAAATTTTGTTCGCTGGCCTTGATCAGCCAATCAAATCTTGCGAGAAAATGTTCTTAAAATTGTTTTGAATGACGTGAAAGGTCAAAGAACAAATATTCGGACAGTATATAAAATAAAACTGAATCAACGTACTGAAACAAGAAAACAAAACTCGCAGTCTTTGCTATTGCCTTCGCATAAAGAAGCCAAAAATCTTTTAAAGAAATATCGATAAGTAGATAGCAAACTCTTCACTGTGGGAAAACGAAGTATTGCAACGATTGGACGAGAAAAACTCCAAAATATAAACATGAACAAAAAAACTTTATTGCAAGTTGATAGTTCAAAGGTTAGTGGAATTCACAAGTTATACGAAGATACTACAACAAAAGTTTACAAATACCTAGCAACAGTTGACGTAGAGATAAGAAATTTCAGGAAAATCCGGTTTTCTCCGGTTAAAATTAAGGTTATCCGACGGATAGCTATCCACCCTGCTATCCGTGCTTCGTACAACGCATTTTTATTCGGCAGATAGCTATCCATTAGATAGGAGATTTATCCATTGGATATGACTTATCCACTGGATAACTTATCCACCTTTCGTACAACCGGCCCCTGAAGATTATCTTTCAAAGGTCCAGTGCATGTCATTCTACCACTTACAACACAAGTAAAGCAGCAATCAAAGGAGGTATTAATCTGTGGCACCAAAGGCTCGGACACTTAAACAAGGATGACGTCAAACGCACCATTGGCTGTGAAGATAATTTGAAGGAAGTATGCGAAACGTGTGCACTTGGAAAGCAATCTAGTAAACCTGTACCGAAAGAAACGCAGAACAAGTCGCAGAAAGCTCTCGAACTCGTTTTCTCAGATATACTCGGTCCATTTGAAGTACCTAGCCTCAGTGGATCCAGATATGCGATTACATTTATCGACGAATACTCGAAACATTCCATCGTAAAGTTTATGAGCAAGAAATCCCAAGCTTTTGAAAAATTTAAAAAGTATGTAGCTGAATATGGAACACCTCAAAGACTGAGAACTGACAATGGAGCTGAATACACATCGAAGCAATTCAAGGATTACTGCAGAGACTCAAAAATAAAGCAAGAATTTACTGTTCCAGAACGCTTCAATCGAACTGTAGTTGAAATGGGACGGTCTCTGTTAATCCAAGCCAAGTTACCAAAGTGCTACTGGGTAAGTTCACAAGCAGCTCACATACGAAATCTTACAGTAACTGCCAATAGCAACCATGGAAAGAGTCCTTTTGAACTCTTTACCGGAAAACCACCAAGGCGCAACCACCTACGAGTTTTTGGCTGCACGGCATATGTTATGAAAAGAAAGATCAACATGAAGAAGCTGGATTCGAGATCGGTGAAAGCCAAATTTATCGGTTATGATGACAAAAGCACAGCCTACATCTTGCAAGAATTCGACTCAAAAAAGATCATCAAAGCACGTAATGTCATCTTCAAAGAGAACGAAATCCAGTCATTCTCAGCCAGAGAAACGATGAGTCCGGACAACCCAAACCTTGTGAGTCCCAACATGGATTTTGAAGATGAACGCTCGAATGACGAAGGCACAAAGATACCGGTCCAAGCTAGAGTGGGGGGAAATGATAAGACACCTGTTGTTCAAAATCCACATCAAGTCGAAGAAAACCCTGAGGAAGACGAAGTCGCACTCCCCAGAGAAAGCAGAAATCGTCGCCCCCCGGAACGATATGGATTACCCTAGACGTTTAACATAATAAAAGAGGAAAACATACAAGAACCCAAGTCGTATAATGAAACAATTCGTTCACCGCATGCAGAAAACTGGAGAAAAGCTATGCAAGCAGAGTACGAGTCACTAATGGACAATAAAATTAATACCTGGACATTAGTCGATGAACCAGAAGATCAACAAGTCTTACCTGGAAAATGGGTGTATAAAGTAAAGTATGGAGCAAACGGCCAAGTCGATACGCTCAAGGCAAGATACGTAGCAAAGGGTTATGCTCAAATCGAAGACCTAGATTTCTTTGACACATACGCTCCAACATGCAAGCCAGAAACTTTTAGAATTCTATTAGCAACTGCAGCACGAAAGGACTTATATCTTGGTCAGATGGACGTGAAATCAGCCTACCTTCATTCCAAAATAGAAGAAGAAATTTATCTGGAGCAGCCAGAGGGGTTTGTCAAGAAAGCAAGCTCAGGACAAAAGCTTGTGTGCAAATTGAACAAATCAATCTATGGTCTAAAACAAGCTGCGAAAAACTGGTATGAAGCTCTGACAAGTCTACTTCTCAAGAAAGGATTCAAGCGAAGCTGCAACGACTATTGCCTATTTGTAAGAAAGGAAGAAAATGGAACATTTTCCTATAGTAGTGGCTGGAGTAGTGATATAGTAGTGGCTGGAGCGACCGAAGAAGCAATTAACGAAATTAAATCAATGTTAAATGAAAATTTCAAGATGGATGATCGTGGCGACCTAAACTGGTTCTTAGGAATGCAAATCCTGCTATCGCACGACAAGATTACAGTGGATCAAACGAAGTATATCGAAACTGTTCTCCAAGAATTTAACATGAGTGATTGCAAAGCTGTAGCAACACCCGGAGAAGTAAATCTAAAGCTAGTCAAAAGTAACGAAGGAAAGAAATTAGTAGATCCGAAGCTGTATAGAAGTTTAGTTGGCTCTCTTTTATTCATTGGCAAACAAACCCGTCCAGATATTCTAAATATTGTTAATCAGCTGTCACGATTTCTCGATAAACCTGACGAATCACATTGGAAGGCAGCAAAGCGCGTACTGAGATACCTCAAAGGAACTACCGACTTACGATTAACATTCTTGAAGAATTCCAGCTGTGATATTGTTGGCGATTCGGACGCAGATTGGAGTGGGGATCTCAACGATCGCAAATCGACAACTGGATACTACTTTAAATTCGAAGGAAATGGAGGTGCCATCAGTTGGGACGTAAAGAAGCAAGCAACCGTTGCCTTATCAACAGCGGAGGCGGAATATCAAGCCATGGCGGCTGCTGCACAAGAAGCAATCTACTTACGAGCTCTACTAAAGGAGTTTCCCAATGGAGAAAGCGACCGATATTGGAGAAGACAACCAATCCTGCATTAAGATGTGTCACAATCCCGTGATGCATAAACGGTCAAAACATATCGACACGAAGCTACACTTCATTCGAGAAAGGGTAGAAAATAAAGAAATAAAGATATATTATGTTCCAACCGAAGAAATGACTGCGGACATTCTGACGAAATCATTACCTCGAGTGAAAGTGGCAAAACACAGAACAGTACTCTTAGGGAATTAAGAACATCAACAACACGTCAGACTCATCACAGTTAAGGACGAGCTGAGTCTGAGTGGTGGTGTTGAGATAAGTACTTTTAGTGTTTATAGTTTAAACTATATTTATATGGTTGATATTATTTAGCATAAATTAACATAACGTACCGTAACACAGTTAATATATACAGTATATCGGACACGTGACTATACGTTCGTTGAACGTTATTTAGATCCGCCATTATCGGTATAGTTGTTGTTTTCAAGCGGGAAAACTATATTTTGTGAACCTTTTAGTTTCTTTTACAACAATAAATTACATAATCTAACAAAGTTTCCGTTTTTATATCAATTTTTAAAATAATTAAAAAACTCATTAATAATTCAGGAGGAAAACACAAAGAAAAATCATAAGCGTGTCGTGGTTTTATATGTGATAAAAAATCATGTTAATTTACATAAACTTTAGCTTTGATTTTCTCGGTTTAGACAAAGTTTATTTTAAAAATTACTTCGCTAATGTACTCATCAGAAGATGGGTCGTTTTTTAAGCTAAAGCACTCGTAGTCGTGTTTTATCACATATAAAACACTCCGCTAAAACCAGTGGCGTAACGCAACCGCTGGGGGCCCTCCGTCAATCGGCCACTTTTGGCCCCCCCTTTGCTCCACTAAAAATAGGCTGAATTTACGACTTATGTCTACACAACAGCAATCCTCACTTACATAATATTTGGTTACAGAATGGACTCAATCCATTACATTGTTGAGATTATATGCCTCCAAAGAATCCTCAACACAAATAATATTTGTATTTTATTGACAATATATCAAAATCCCTATCAGTACGAAGTTCGGACAGGAAAACCCGGCCTACACAAAAAAAGTTCGGACTCGCGCGTCCTACGCGTAAACACAACAATTAAATGGGAAATTGATAATATGCTAAAAACCCTATACAAAGTTACGAAGTTTATCGAGAAAATCTGTCCTTCCTTCTAGCATTAACAAAAGCGAAATGATTAATGACTTTATCTTTTAATGTTTGAGTTATTTCTTTGTTCTCTATTGAAATCAAAATTAACCCATCAAGGCGCTCTTGAGCCATAGAACTCCTCAGATAAGATTTAATGATCTTCAGCTTTGAAAAGGACCTTTCTGCAGATGCTACTGTCACAGGAATGGTTAGGAATAACAATAGCAATTTGCATAACTGTGGAAAGGAGGAAGCAATTCTGGCTTTGTAAGTGATTTCAAGAATGCTTGATATCGAGGTAACGTCTTCCGCTTTTAATTCGTCAAGAAATTCAACTTGAAACGAACGAACCTCTCTTTCCAGGTCATCACCATCAAAGTCTTCGCCATATACACGTAGTAAGTTGGAGGTGGCTACTTTAATTTCGGCGACCTCCAGTTTGACGAAGTTTCATGGGAACAGAAAATCAAATTTCTCTGCGACCATTTGCATTCCTTTAAAACGCACTTCTATCTGTGTTACAGCAACATCAATGGTTCTGTAAAAGATGTTTATTTTAAAAGCTCTTTCTGAATCCTCGATCCTAGAATCGGAAGCCAATTCGTCGAAGAACTGTTTTACCCCACGCTTACGTCGTTTCTCAAACTCAATGGGAATGCCCCATGATGCAGCAAGGGCATTTGCGGTCATTCGAACGAACTCCCATGAATTTCGCAAATACCTTAGTTCTGACAAACTAATGGATAAAAGTCTGGAAGCGGCACTGAGGTCGACATTTTTCGATTGCAGTTCCTTTGATGTGGAGTTGGTACATGACAAAATTCTCTCCCAGAGAACTAGATTTATGATAAAGTCAATTTTTGCAATGTTCTTCTTGATGCCAACTGCTTCATCACGTTATTTTTATCCTTGCTGGTCAACGAAATGACTGTCAGACTGTCAGTCGCTTCAAAATGTCAACAAATCTGTCCCGCACTCCACGGACCGAATCTACCCTTTAAAGACAAGGACGAATCAACAGCGAGCAACTGTAAATCTCTTGACCGATTTATGGACGATGAGAAAAATACGTAAATGGATTGAATAACTCCGAAAAAGTTATCGTTATCAACAACGGAATCTACGGCATCATTTATAACAAGGTTTAAATTGTGTGCTGCGCAATGAATGAATGGCACAGGCTTTGATGAACGATCTTTTATCAGCTTTTGTACGCCATTGTGAACACCACTCATGACACTCGCCCCGTCGTAAGCTTGACCACGGAGCTTTTCCATGTCAAGTCCAATATCTTCGACATATTTGCATGTTGTTTCTACGAGGCCGGCCGCTGTTCCGTCTGTTACAGATATAAAACCAAGGAAAGTTTCCTTAATGGTAACATTCTCGTTTTGTACTTTAACCCACCGAGCAGTGACACTGAGCTGATCTACTCTGTTTATGTCACTTGTGGTATCCAGTACAATTGACCAAAATGGACATTCATTTATCTCAGTGACCAAAGACTTTCGCAGCAGCTGAGATGTTGTTAGAATCAGTTCATTCTGGATTTTGGGGCTCATGTATCGAGTTGCATACTTAGGTAAGGAGATGGCATCATTAGTAATAGTATCAAATTCGCTTAACAGTGTCACGTACCACACCCAGGAAATTCCTTCCTTGTGCAAGCCCTTCACCTACTTTTTCATCATGTCCTCGCAAAGCAAGATTTAACGAGGCCAGACAAAGAATTACACCCAAAACCCTTCTCAAAACGTTCACCCATATATTAGTTTCACGTTGGTTCTGCTTTTGGGATTCGTCACTTATTGTCTTCCCTTCTTTCCATCTAAGATATACAGCAGATGCTTCAATATGGAGCAAGGAGTTTTCATGTTTCTTTATCTTAGCTAGCAATCGTGGATCCCAAAACGTGGATGATTTCGATTTTCAATTTTCACAGTATGGTTTTGCTAATATAGGTGAATAACAAAGCCATGATCTCGGGCACATTTTGTTCTTGCTGTGGAGTTGATAATATGTGCTGAAGTTGGTTAGATGGAAAACACGGAGTCGGAGTTCCGGAGTCGGAGTCCCGGAGTCGGAGTCCCGGAGTCTGACGTCATAAAAATATGGAAAACACGGAGTCATATGGAAAACACGGAGTCTGACGTCAGAGAAAAATATGGAAAACACGGAGTCATATGGAAAACACGGAGTCTGACGTCATAAAAATATGGAAAACACGGAGTCATATGGAAAACACGGAGTCTGACGTCAGAGAAAAATATGGAAAACACGGAGTCATATGGAAAACACGGAGTCTGACGTATTGTCAGCGTGAAATATGGAAAATAGTAATAAAATAATATATAATTTATGCGAATATAAACAAACGGACGAATTTATAATATAACGAATTGGAAATTTTCTGCACTAATTCTGGTATTTCTCTAAAATGTCGTGAAAATATGGATTATTTATTTTTAAATACAATCAAGCAAATAATATTGTTTCTCTTGTCGTGTGACTTGTTCAGTTGTACAATATTTGAAGTGATTTTAATGCGGATTTTGTTCACCTCGTATGGTATGTTGATAAAAATATAGTTTATATACTTAATACTGCTAGAATATTTCATAGTCGATTTACATGTAATATTTATAACACACAAAATCTTGACACAAAACAGATATGCTGCTTGGAAACAGCGTTGTTATTTATGCACCTATCAATGTTAAGCCCCCGAGAGGGGGGGGGGGGTCGGGCATAGGTGGGGCATTTGATTTTTTGAGCAAATTTTCAATCAAATGCCCCACCGTCGGGCAATAAATATTGGTCAAATGCCCCACCATTTTGCAATAAATTGCAATAAATACTATATTAATAACAGTCATTTGGTTCAAATTGCCCAAACTCAGGGCCAAAATGCTAATCAAAATCCCCAGGGTGGGATGCAATTGATGATCAAATACCCCACATAT